ATTTCAAAGAATGTTTCACGATTAATTTTTACCGGTCTTTACGCGCACTTTTTCACAGAAATTTTGTCATTGTCTGCGTCCGTCACAAAGAAAATTTGTCACATTTGTCAAAGAAATACAATAGAAGAATGTTTAAAATAATGTCAAGATCAATAATATTTATACACAAAACATAAGATACACAATTAAATATGGGAAACAGGAAAAGAAAAGATTTGGTTTCGAGGTTAGGCGACCATGAGGTGACAGGTGGAATTTTCAACAATTAAAAAATGATGAAAAAATAAATGAATTTTCTGGGAATTTTCAACAAACGAAGATGATGAAAAGAATTATTCTGAAAATTTTCTTTACAGAAAGGAAATGTGGAAGGTGGATTTTTTCGTTGGGCGCCAATTTATAATTGGTTGCCCGGATTTCCAATTAAATTATGTGGGAAAAGGTGAGAAAGGAAAAGATAAACGAAGAAATAGTATAAACTAGTATTTATTTGACTTACTTAAATTCCGTAGAATGGGTCACAATTCACTATTCGAAAAAAGGAGGCGACACAGAGAATATAGGCACTGGTATCAAACGAGTCCAGGCAACAAGTGTCGCGTCTGCTTGTAAATCCGGCGATTGACACCCTCGAGGCCCTTCGGCCGTTTCCGGGTTGAATCGCCCGATTCGCAACAGACGCGGGAGAATTTGTAACGCCACGTTACAAACTTTTACAAAAAAAATTTTTTTGGCTTAATATTTTCAGGGATTCTTCTTAACGATATTAAGAGTAAAAAAAAACTATTTTGGTTCAAAAAGAAAATTTTTTAGTTTTAGGTGATCCGTTTGAGAAATTCTGATCCGTGAACAAAATAAAAAAAAATTAATTGTGAATTAATTTACAAAAATTCCTTCCATCCGTCCTTAAGGGGTTAACGTCCTTTTTATTCAAAAGAATGAAAAATAAAGTTTTTCTTAATACAGTTTAATTAAAAATGTCCATTTATAGTTTCCCCTTATTCGTTTATTTACAATTTTTTCATTTTTCTTTATTTTCAAAATTTTTTTATCCAATATTTATTTCCAATTTCTATTTTAGTGTTATTTAACATCTATTTCTAATTAAATTTTAAATTGCAAAATGTTGTTACATCCTGTATATTGTTCACTTTTATTTTTCAAATTATATTTTTCAAATAACTTAAAATGGGCCCTATAAGAGTTAGTGTAAACTAAACAGACTAGACAAACATTTCAAAATTATCTTTTTCCAAGAAAATTCGTTCAAACAACATTTTTATCGCTCACAGATTGTATCGTAAAAAGGGCAGTTCAAATTTCATCCTTCTTAACAGTTAACTTTAACCTTCTAGAAAAAATACTTTTTCTGAACAAAAGCCAAAGTGTTTCCAAATGTTAAAGGAAACCATAAATTGTAATATAACCTATGACCAGATGTCTTAGGAACGGCCTTTTTAAGGGTACGGTCGAGAGTGCATACATATACACATTCTAAAACGTGTTTAAATAATAGAAACGTTAATTTTCATTTGCAAATGAATAATAAATAAAACAATAAATAAAAATGATAAATAATTAATATTTCAATATTATCAATAATGTGTGTAAATAAATATTTATTGTTTGTAAAATAATTAATAACAAATAAATATCCACAAAGAATAATTATAAACAATAAACCAATAATAATTCACAAATTATTAATAACAATTTTTAAAAAATAAATTATCATAAAATCGAAATAAATAATTACATAATGCGACAATTACGTTAAAAATTACGATAAAATTAAAATTCAAAAACCTACATACATTTAAAAATTATAAACAATTGAACTACGCTATAACAAATATTGTAAAATTATTATTAATTAGTTTATAACAATATTTTGTAAAATCTCAAAAACGTGGAATAATATCCCTACTATTTTAGAAAGACACTGACCTAGGATACGTCCCTTTAAGACACAACCTACATAAGTGGGATGGGTCTCGAAGACCCAATCCCGAAACGACAAAATCAAATCTTTTTAACTTTTTACCAATCTGATAATTAGTTAGCCTATTTTTTCCATCTCCCTAAAAATATTTTCCAAAAACCTTAGTAAGTACAAGATCTTAAAAACAGTATCCTTACAAGACAACTAGAGACAAGTCAGTAAAAATCATTCATTCTCAGTATTGATGTCAATCTCAGTATTCATACACAGTTCAATACAACTCAAACTCAGTTCTCAATACTAAAACTCAAGTTCTAATTTCCAAGTTCAAGTCTTTTTTAAAGTAATACGTGTTTAAAATACAAGTCTCAAGTCTTATTATCAGTGTTTCTTCTTCTTCTTTACTACAGAGAAGCTGTAGTTTACTAAAATTTTGGCTTCGTAATTATCAGTGTTTAAAATAATCAAATTAAATCCAAGTTATTCAGCAATTTTATCGAAATCATAAATCGATATATCGATATATTAAAGAATCGATAAATCGATACTTATAATCGATATAATACAAAAATTTGAGTTATTTCACGTTTTGGAAACAGCAACTACCAGTATATTTTATAAAATAAAAAGTGAGTAAAAATAAGTTAACGTTTTTCTTTATTAAATTCATCTTTCTCTTCTCAACTTTCTCAAATCTTGCCAAATTTCCCAAATCCGAAAAGGAAGGTTCTACGACTGAGAACTGTAATTTTCAATTACCTTTTTAAAACTATTTTTGAATCCTGAATTTATTACGTATGTTATCGAAGTCTGTTATCTTACTTTCTTGTGTTCGATGATTTGCTTTCATTCCTTATAAATTAATTTCCAAAAATCCTAAAATCATATCAAAACAAAATAAAACTCGAAGTGTCCCGAACTATTAGGCGAGAGCTTAGGTTCAAATCACACACATAATTCCATTTATTAAATATTCATTTATTTAATAAATTGAATTAAAAATAATTATGTTTAGTCCATAGGACGTAACAATGTTAATGAATTTTTATTATAAATATCTGTAGACAATTATGTATCATAGAAAAAATATATAAGAACAGCACAAAAAGAAAATTTTATATTGTTTAAATAACTAATTTTAATCTCTTTTGTACCTACTAAACATATTTGTTTGATCTATCTATATAATAAATTGAGAAAAAATTTATAATTTATTTTGTGGAAATAACTTACAATTCACTGATTGTTTGATGAAAAAACCTTATAATTCATTAACTTATCTTTAAACGAAGAAAAAAGTAGAAAATGAATGGAAAATTTCTGTTTTGTATGCACTACCGAAATTGAAAAATCTCACTTTTCAAAACTGTACCATTTATAAACTTATCATTAAATTTACATAAAAAAATTGTTTAATATTCTTTAAACATGTAAGAATAAGTTTTTACAATTGAGAAGTTTCATTGTAAATATTTTATTATAGAAAATAATACTAAAAGTAGACAATTTTTCAGACAAACGACAAAAAATATAGGGCGTTGTTGATAGTGGCGGGACAGCGGGTATAGCGAGACACTGCGATATTTCAAACAGCTGAGTTGTCAGTGTTGCTTTTTTTGGTGTAAAAGTAAAGTTTTATTCTGCTGAAGCTTTTTTATATGATACACACTTTCTGGATTATGCATAATAGTGCGATAGACACAATTGTAGATCGTTATTACCGTAAATCACTGTTTCGGCAATGGCGGGACACTTATTGTCGGCAGTGTCCGGACACTGCTTGTTTAAATCTAATGAAATAGTACATTTTCAAATGACTTCGGTATTATTTTTTTTAAGTTTTGTCGGCAATATTTTTCATAACAATAACCTAATTTTAAAGTTGCGAATGTATTTTCAAATAATCTGTAACAATAAAAATAATAATCTTAACTCTTTTTTTAGATGGTAAAAAACGTAAACAATTTAAAAGGGACACAAAGGAACCCAAATGCTTTGAAATTGAAAGCCGTAAAAGACATTGTAATTGAAAAATTTGCGATTTAAAGTAATGTCCCGCCACTGCCGACGCTTTTTAATGTCGGTAGTCGCGGGACATTATTGTACTACAGTTACAGTAGCCTGGACATTTTTGTAAAATTATTTAATATCAATGAGTGCCGGGCTGAAAAAGTTTCCTTTTCATCTAAAAAAACAAATACAAAAATAATAAAGCGAATGTGTGAATAATTAATGGACCCAAAAACTGATTGAATGGGAAACAAGTTGTAAATCGAAATGTTCATTACATGAACATTTTGCTTCCTTTTTACGATCAGCAAAAAAAATTTGCTCCCTCGTGGGTGAAGCATTACCGATAAATATATTTCATTAATATATTTCATTTTATTTCATTATTTTTAAATCATTTTTAATACAATTTAAGATTTATAAAATAAAGTTCATTCATCTTAATAGAAAGAATAGAATTTTCTTAGACAGTAATATAAATCTAAATAAACAAAAAAATGTTTAGTAAAAAAGTGAATTTTTCAACTTTAATAGTAATTAATTCTATAATTTTTAATAGAATATATACTTTGTAAACAATTACGGTGGTGAGACTCCGTGGCTTGCGATCATCGGGGTTAAGCGACATCCAGTGCGGTTCCCTGTTGAAAAAACTAACATCGGATCTAATATTCGAAATAATATCAGAATTGACATTTGAAGTTATATTATAAACAACATCAGAAATTACATCGTAAATGACATCGGAAATTATATCGTGTTTTGGGACTATAAACGATGTCGTATTTGATATCATTAATGATGTTATTTTGTATTGTCATTTATGATTTTTTATATATTTTTGTTATAAATAGATAAAAAAGAATATAATAATTTTTTTATAAATGTTATCTAATAAAAATAATAATAGATATATTAAAAGACAAAAATATATATTATCTTGCAGTTTATTCTAATTATATCTTTATAATATAAAATAATAACATTTATAGTTAGTTACCAAGTAATATATAATCATAATATAATTTTAAAACAGATACACTGAGAAAAAAGAGGGCGCGTTACAGCACATTTTCGATTCATGTTGCGCGACTCAACCCTGAATTCTTCTACACACTTTCTGGGGCGTGCAGCACGCCCCAAAGAGCGTGTAATACGCTTCAAATACAGCTCGCCTCGACTCAGGGGTCCGCTGCACGCCCCAGAAAAGTGTCTAGCAGAACACAGGGTTGAGTCGCGCAACATGAATCGAAAATGTGCTGCAACGCGCCCTCTTTTTTCTCAGTGTAGATATACATATTGTAGTACTATTTTTGTTATTTTTTAATTATTGAAATTATTAAAGAGAAGTTTAAATTTCAGTCCATTTTAACTCTTTGCTTTGATCCGTTCGTCTGAGATTGTGAGAGTCATTGTTCTTGACAATTTAGCCATCCTAACATTTCTGGAGTGGGCATCAACTCCGCTAGATGTAATTTTTTCGTACAGTAAATCTAAAATGTGAAAGTTATTATTACTATTTATTGAAAAAAAATTTAGCTTTTTATATAAAAAGAGAGAATTACAATACCTTTGACTAGCTGTCGTTTCTCTGGTGTTAATTTTGTTTTTTGTTCGCCAGTATTGTCTTTGTTAGCTCGCTTCTCACAAAGGCATTTATTACGCAAATTTTCTTTGCCCCAAATGAGACCAAGTAATGATCTGACAATGACTGAATCGTTTTTTCGTATTATGGCTTCCCAAACATCGATATGTACCATTATATTTAATCCAATATTTACCTGCAGAAAAATAAATTAATTTTTTTAAATTATTAGAAATATTTTTACGTATTTTATTAATTTTCTAACTGTAATTATTAAATTGACTTATAACAGGGTGTCTACTTAAAATATGACTTAAAATTTCAGGACATTTTCAGGACAGATTTCTTATTTTTCCAGGACATTTATATGTGTAACAGCGTTGCCACAAGTAAGGGAAAAGTCAGGGTTTTTTATTATAAGTACTGGAAAAAATTTAATTTTTAGAATTTATAGGAAAATTCTGATTTTGTTTGCCTTACAAACCTTGAAATTCGCATAAATTGAATTATGTTCAAAATTTTTTGAAAATTCTCATCAAAATTTAAATTATCTTTATAAATAATAAAATTCTTTTCCCAAATTCAATTATTTTCAAAAAATTTAATAAAATTCTTGGCGAAATTTCAATTATTTTCAAAAATTTTCCTCATTTCAATTATTTTTTATATCTACTATTTTAATAAAATTTTCCAAAGAATTCTATTATTTTAACAAACTTTTAATAAAAAATGAACAGGAATTCAATTAGTTACTAATTTTTTAAATAAATTTCTTCCCATCAATTCAATTATTTTAAAAATTAGGGAAAATTAAACAAAAACATTCGGACAATGAATAAAATATTTATTTACTCCAACGTTTCGAAATCTAAATGATATTAATGATCTATTTCCTCTTCAGGGAGTCAAAAAATAATAATTAAAATATATAAAAAGAATTATTATTTTTTGACTCCCTGAAGAGGAAATCATTTAGATTTCGAAACGTTGGAGAAAATAAATATTTTATTCTGTCCGAATGTTTTCGTTTAATTTTTCTTAATTTATAAAGGACCTCGGACGTTAAAGATTATAAACTAATTATTTTAAATTTCTTAATGAAGTTTCTCGAAAGAATTCAAATATATAAAGAGAATTGAAAACAATAGCCTGCAAAATTCAATTATTTCGAAAAATTTAAATAAAATTCTTTTAATAATTCTATTATTCAAAAAAGTGTTGACGAAATTCTTTACAAGATTTAGATTATAAAATTGCAATTTTAATAAAATTTTCCTGAACAATTCATTTCTTTTTAAGAATTCAATTATTTTCACAAATAATACATTTTTTATGGGAATTCAATTATGTAAAAGAATTTAAATTAAATTCTTCGTTGGAAATTAATTATTTTCTTTCTTAAGAATTCAATTATTTTAAATAATTTTGATAAAATGCTTTATAAATTTGAAAAATTATAATAAAATAGGTCATAGAATACAATTATTTTCGTAAGATACGACATCTTTTCTAGGAATACAATTATATTGTCAAAAATGTTTGTAAAACTTTTAAAAGGTTTTAAACATTTCTGAGAAATTCAATTATTTAAAAAAATTTGAATAAAATTCTTCACAAGAAATTAATTATTTTTATAAATAATAATATTTTCGTCTGGAATTCAATTGTTTTCACAAATAAAATTCTTCACAAGAATTCAATTCTTTAGCAATTTTTTAAATAAAATTCGTTCCAAGAATTCAATTATTTTCATAAATAACAAAACTTATCGCAGAATTTCAATTATTTTTATAAAATTTTATATACAATAATAGAAAATTGCATTTATTCTTACAATTTTTTTTAAATTCGCAGAAAGAATTCAATTATTATTAAAAATTTTGATTAAATACTTTTAAAAAATCAACTTTAAAAAATATGTAATTACTAAGTGAATTATTATTTATCTTTGTATTTAAATAATTGAATTCTCGAAAAATTTTCTAATAAAAATTGATTAAAAACTGAATTTCACTTAAAATTTTAAATTATATTTTGAATATTAAAAGCATTATAATGCGTGAATTTTTAAAAGAAATTGAATTTTGAAAAGGGTTAAAATTAAAATGTTTGAAAATTTAAATTAATTTGAGTAAAATTTTTAAATTATTAAATATTGAAAAGCAAAATTTGTAAAATTCAAGGACTAAAGTTCAAAATCCATGACATTTAAGGACATTTCCAGAACTTCAAGTACCAATAGACACCCTGTATAAGTTACATTAACGATTTAACAAACCATCTCATTTTGCTGGTTTTGCAAGTTTGTTGATCTGCCTAAACTAGCAAAAAGTCCACCACGTATAGAATCAGGTGCTGAATTCCTTCTTGCTTGGTTCCCTCTTGTAAACAATTGTCTTCGAACTGTATTTTGTCCAGTAGAATTGCGTCTTGATGCTCTATTTCTTTGTGGATTTTGAGGAGAAAGCGAAACATGCGAATCAGTATCTGTATTTTGTCCAGTAGAATTGCGTCTTGTTGCTCCATTTGTTTGTGAATTTTGAGGAGAAAGCGAAACATGCGAACCAGTATCTGTATTTTGTCCAGTAGAATTGCGTCTTGTTGCTCCATTTGTTTGTGAATTTTGAGGAGAAAGCGAAACATGTGAACCAGTATCTGTATTTGCTACATGCGAAATAAACTATTATGTAAATTGTATTCGAAGAAATAGTATGTAGCATACTATTAATTAACGCAAGTTATTATGTACATAAATTATATAAAATCAATAAACTCACAATTCATTAAGTTATCAGAAGCAATAACAACGGTGTCAGAAGTATCCGTTCTCTCAATCATTCTTGACGGATCCTCTACTCTTCTTTCAACATGAGGAGAATTGTCAGAAACATCACGATTGTCACCGTCTTTGTCACCTATAAAAATAATTATTACCAAAAGTTTATAAATATTTCGCAATTTATCGAATTCCCTAATGCAGCATCCTGATATTCAGAATAACCTATTTAAATTTCATTAGTCATAAAATAGAAGAAAACAATACTTTCAATTTAAAAAAAACTTTTTTAAACAATAATAAAAAAAAATTATAATATTATTTCCTTTTTAAATTTCAATGAATTTGTAATACGAGTAAAAATAATATAGTGTGTCGATGAAAGATTAGATTTTTCAAAAAAATTTTTTACTCACCACTGTCACTGTCAGATGCATATTGATCTGTGTGAGATTCTTCACCATCTGATTGCGAATCTCCAGATTATTCAATTTCAGAATCAACTATTCTCCTAGACTTCATTAAATTCTGGTAGTTCCGTAACATTTTTTCTTGTTTGTGCTTAGTTGCTGCCTGGTTTTCCAAATTGTTTCTTTTCTTTTGCGTCTATAGCATGTGGTAAAAAAGAACAAATTATTCAAAATTAATTTATTTGCGGGTTGCTAGATACGTACACATTATAAAAATTATTTATTAAAAAATACTTTGAAATTAATTTTATAAAATATTATGCAAAATCAGTTCTGTCTTCTAAAATATTAAATATATAAAAATAGTGTGAATTCTTAAAAATTGTTTTTATAATTGCACTATTCAATATACTAAGTTTAATACCTGCTTTGTCTTGATCCTTTTTTGAATTGTTGATGAAATCTTTCGAAGATTTCCCATATTAGACGAAAACGACGAAAAGCTCATTATCCATTTATTAGGATATACTAATCGCCGATTTTTTCTCTGTTGTAATATGTGTGCACTGTTTTCTATAAAAGAAATTTTTTAATGAAATTTCTAAATATTTAATTAATAGAAAAAATAAATGAAAAACGTATAGGGTCGCCAAATAGCAAGATGTTTTCAACTTGCCTAAAATAATTTTGACATTTTAAGGTTAGAGTGATTAATACTTATTTATTTTCAAAGAATATACAAATATATATGTCAATTTATACTTACTACCTAATAATAAGATATATGCATTCAATAAAAGATCTTTTTTTCCACATCGTTTCAGCCAAACTTTTACTTTAAGATTGCGATTAAAATCTTTCGTATTTTTAAAAATTTTTGTTGTCTCAATTAATGAAGTTGGTACAATTTTCTCTGTACCATTAGTGAAAAGAACATATGCATTCTTTATTACATTATTTTGGCTCATATTTATTAGCACTTATTACGCAAATACACAACATATAGTTAAAAGAACAGGACATTAACCGGCACAAAAGAGGTTAACTTTTTTGGCAAACGCGGCAAACGGTACAGTGTTGCAGAAGCAGACCACATGTTTCCGTATATGAGGCATTATTCCTGAACTGCCCCAAAAATAAAAAAAAGTTCTTGGATTTCCTTTATACTTTGGAAATATGTTACCCTAGTAGGTACAAGTTACTACACCAATTTACAGGTCCAACCCCCCACCCCAATCAAAAGGGTGGGGGGTTGAAATTTCAGCTTCAACTCGAACATGCATTCTTTAAACATTTGTAGTTTCTACTTAAATTATTCAATTAAAAAAAGTAAGTAGTGTTTTAGAAAGGTTTTTTTGTGTACTTTTAAAATATTTTATTTATATAATAAAAAAAAAAAATTTTTTGCAAAAATTTTTTAAAATAAATAGTTTTTTGCAATTTTGTGCAAGTTCGGTAGTTTTTATTTTCTTTTTAATAATCTAAAATGAAAGCTTGGGAATTCCCCTAAAAGAAGATATAAGTCTGAAAATGGGCCGAAACAATTTGCCAAAGATATAGTGTTGTAACGAAACGGCTCTTGTTTGTCACATTTACAACAATGAAAAAACAATATTAACATGAAAAATATTAAATAATGAAAAACACAAACATCAAATAATAAATATTGCACCAAATGAACTCAAAGAAAGAAATAGAATGGAATTAAATAAATAATAATTCACAATAAAAATTGATATAAAAATAATTTTAGAATTTAATACACTCAAAATCATTTACAAGAATATAATAAATCAGCATTCATATGTGTTTAGATTTTTGTCTGGCAATTATCGCGTTCAAAAACAAATTTATAGAAATATCCAGGATGAGCTCATCACATACATACGCAATACACACTTTTATATTTAGAAATCGTACGATAACAGAATTTGCAAATTATTAAATATCATCAATATAATATAAAAAATACGTGATTAAATAAAAGAGACATAAAAATTTAAACTATTTTCTCAATATACATTATACAAAAAAAAAAACAAGGACAACAATTTTTAGAGCATTTTCTCCATAAAACAAAAATATAAATATCTTTGATAAAATTGAATTTTTCGTGTGACGATATTTTATCTCATTTTTACAAAATAATACTCACTGTGTGAGATATCAAATAAAATCGTTTTTCTTTCGAAATTATCAGTAATGCGTTAAAATGGTGTACTCACTCTTTGGCGACAGTAAAAAATAGTTTGACGACTGATACCTAGCGCATACATCATTCCGTGGGGGGATTCAATGAATGTTGAGTATATCAGAAGGTGATGACGCTCAAAATTCATGGGACACGCATGATGATCCCTAGGATGAGTCCGTTTATTCTTCCAAGATTACAAATCAATTTCCAAAAATTCGTCGGAGTACATCGAACTTCGCCATTCAAATCGCAATAATTTGATGATAGTTTTAACGACCCGCTGTACAATAAAATAACAAAAAAGAATCTTAAATACATATTTGCTATATACAAAAAACATCAAACTAAACCATGAATATTAATTTATCTTTACAATATTAATATAAAACGACGCTCACCTATTACGCAGGTCGAGGATTTTTCGTCACACACAGAACGTACACCCAGTACGCCCTTACAAGAGAAAATGCTCCCCACTCATTGAGTTCATTAATTATATTAACGATCGATTGTCCCTACTTCCAATTATCCCACTCATTCTTACACAAAATTTTCTCCTTACATACAAAGACACACGTTACAGTGTAATAAGTAAAATTTGTCCGTTCGCTCGCGCACTCCAGCGCGATGAACAGTGGGATTTTTTTTCAACTTACTATTGAAAATTGTCTAGAAACTACAAATTTTATCGGATGTTGATGTTCTTGATTTAAAATTACTAAGAGATCCATCAAAGTCGATTTTTGAATTTTTAATTGTTTATTTTTTTCTTGTTACTCAAAAATTTGACAAATACAAAAGGAAGTTGATTATTGTTTATATAATTGTTAATATTAATGATAATTTTTAACTGTAAAATAGTTTTTTACTAAATTAGACATAAATTTTAACTTGTCTGCAAAAAAACCAATTTTTTTTATGAAGAAGGTCCGAAGTAATCTATTTGTTAATTAACATTGTTTGCAACAATTTAAATAAATTGTATTATGCTTTATTAATTGTCCGGTGGTCATACTAGACTAATTTAAATTGATTTCGATCATGTGTAATGGAAAAATAAAAAAACTAACATGATTTTTTCTAAAAATATTGTAATTTGTCAAATTTTTGAGTAACAAGAAAAAAATAAACAATTAAAAATTCAAAAATCGACTTTGATGGATCTCTTAGTAATTTTAAATCAAGAACATCAACATCCGATAAAATTTGTAGTTTCTAGACAATTTTCAATAGTAAGTTGAAAAAAAATCCCACTGTTCATCGCGCTGAAGTGCGCGAGCGGACGGACAAATTTTACTTATTACACTATATCTTTGGCAAATTGTTTCGGCCCATTTTCAGACTTATATCTTCTTTTAGGGGAATTCCCAAGCTTTCATTTGAGATTATTAAAAAGAAAATAAAAACTACCGAACTTGCACAAAATTGCAAAAAACTACACAGCCCCACAAAAAAAGAAAAGTACCCTGCGCGAAAGCCCACAGTACCATGCCCCTATGTATTTTGATGCGCTAAACACGAATCCGAAGTCAGATTTGCTCCATCACGTCAGGATTTTTTTCTAACCTCAAAAAACATGTCAGATTTTATGTAATTTATGTAAAATACAAAATTTTTTAAAAATTGATTAGATTTATCTCAAACTTGTTTCTTGGGGGTTTTTAAGATCGCTGATTACGAATCTGCAGTCAGTTTTTAAAAATTCAAAATGGCGGATCCAATATGGCGGCCAAAATTTAAAAATTTCGTGGATTTTCACTTTACTTGGTATATAGGGGTTTTCGGGGTCGCTTATTACAGATTTGCAGTCAGATGTTAAGAATTCAATATGGCGGATCCAATATGGCGGTCATTTTTTTGAAAATTGATTTATTTTGCTTTAAAATGGGTACTCAGTGGTTTTTCGGATCACTGATAACAAATCTTCAATTAGATTTTAAAAAATCAATATGTCCGTTTGAAAATAATGTAATTTTTATTTATGTCTGTTTATCGTAACGGACTCGTTTGGCTTCGAAAGACCTGTGCAGTAGTTTTCTTTTTAAGTTTACTCTTCCTGGAACAATATCCCTTTTTAGCATCCAACAATAGTCAGCCATCATATTTACATCCCATCTGCCTTGATATCTGCTCTCCATTTCATTAATATCTTGATGAAACCGTTCTCCCTGTTCCTCGCTGTAGTCTCCTTAATTTTTGGGAAAGTAACTCAGATGTGAATGTAGGAAATGGAGCTTCAAACTCATCAAGCATTCCAATTTTTGAAAGTTTTTGATCATACCATTCACTATTAGTTCCTGTTACGACCCGAGCTAAGGTTAGTTTAGTTTACTAATTTATTAGTAAAATTGGAGACAAGATGCTGATTAATCAAGCTGGTAAGACTTGATATTTATTTTTAAGTGTGGATTTATTTGACTTTAAAGAAACTATGGGTTTCCGTTAATAAATTATATGCATATTCCTCTTATATAATCATTTATTAATAACAATAGGATTAATAATTATTACAGTTACTTACAATTTTGAAGTTTTGTTGATAATGAGATTACAATGATGTGACTGCAACCAGGCTTGCGTCGCCGTAGTTAAGTAGTATGTAGTTATAAGTTTTATATACTTTTCAGTTCGTTTCTTTTGACACTTTTAAGCACAAAAGAACAACTATTTGAACAATTATTTAACAACTCTAAGTGTTCTCTCACACACTGTACCTTAATACAAAAGAAAACTTGTTTTCTTAGTGTTTTGGAAAGAACTCGCACTAATTTTATAAAATTAGAAAGAGAATATTAAATTGAATTGTTATACGACGAAAGTGTTATTAGTATTTCAATTAGTGCGATTTATTCCCTTACAATAAGAACAAGTCCTCTTTAACACTGAATTTACTACTCAATTTCACGATCGAAGGGCCGACTCAACGATACCGTTCGGGCAGAAGCACACCGGAGTATTTGACAAATGCTCTAAGAAAGCTAGGGGTTTATATAGTAGTTAAAAACTGCTTGATTGGGGATGATTTGTTTAAAAGGCACGTAGTCGAGCTAAAATCTATAAGTCACGTAGTCACGTATTCTAGCCGATTTCTAGAAAGCACGTATCTAGTATTAATTTCGTTTATAACAATTACTATGCATAGCCAGGTAATATGATACTTGCTTTTACAATAATTTGTTTAAACTTCTATATACTTAGTCATGATATATGTTTTCACGCTTGTAGTTTTGAATTCAGGACTCTGGTGTCTGAATCAAGAACCTTCTTACGCGTATATAACTTTGCGCTGTTTATGATAAGTGAGCGACGGCAGATTAATTACCATGAGTGTAGATAACGAACCGACCGCCAACCACCTATCACGCCTCTCTAGATCACGGTCGATTATAATTTCGATTGTCTTAGATGGTAACTCACATGCGCAAGTTACTAATTTATCTTACAGGGTTTAATATTCTTACTATATATATATATATACATACATACACATATATATATATATACATATATACATACATACACATATATATATATATATATACATACATACACATATATATATACATATATACATACATACACATATATATATATATATACATACATATATATACATATACATATACAGTATTTATGTTACATGTTATTTATTAATTGTTCAATATATATATGCACATATATCCATATCTTATAATTATTTGAAAAAGTTATATCTAGGGATGTAACAGTCCTCCCTCCTTAGATTATTTATCGTCTCGATGAATCTTAAATTTCGAAGAATTTTACAATGCATTGTTTGGTGTAATCTGATCTGTTCAAGTTTTTGAAATAATGAAAATGTGCTCGAACGTTGTTTTGTCTAGTTATATTAATTTTATCTTTATGTTTATAATTGTGTGACATTGTGTTGATGTAGTGTTTAGAATGAAAACGTGCAATGTAACTTTTATTCGTATTTCTGAGGTAAGTAGTTTTTGATCCTTTTTGAACTTTGTCTTCTTTCGTCGTCATACAAGTATTTCTTATAATCATCAGTTTTCACAACCATGTGACTTTATACAGTTTCTTCTTGGGGAGTGTCCTAAGTTAGTTTCTATTACATATTCGACAATGGAAGATCGTTGTTCTTCATCGGCATCCACCATTATTTTTACAAAAGAAGAAGACGGAACTATTTCTACTACTACTCCAGGTGGCTCTTCTTCATTGAGTAAGTAGTTTTCAGTTTGATTTTGTCTTTTAATAAGTGAAATGTCGGAAGAACTCGAAAGTAGTATTTTTGATTCAATTATTGATAATGAAATTACAATTTCTTCTATAATTACATCGGTTGATCAATGTATTGAAGATTTTGATTTAAATTTGTTCGAAAATTGTTCTGAAAATTTGCCTTGTGAAACTAGTGTATCTAGCGGAGTTTCTCTTACGAAATTTGAAGGGATGTTATGTAGATTGCGTCGTGTCGAAGCAAAATTTGGTTATTTTTATTTGGCTTTATGGAAAGTAAAATTTCACTGTGCGGTTCAAGTAATTGTTAGAATTTGTCGAGAGAGACTTAATTTAGAGGTTTCAGAAAATGATTTTCAAGTGGTTCATGCTTTAGAGTCAAAACGTGCTGGTGTACTTTTACAAGTGTCATCCATTTCTCTTAGAGACAAGATTTTATCTCATTCTCATGACTTTTTTCGCGAAGGATTTAATGTGACCTTGGAATAATCGATTGTTCTTCTTCTTATTTTGTTATTATAGATAATGCAGCATCGGAGTCTTCTTGTGAACTAAACAATTTTCTGCACAAAATAAATGCTATTTCGATTTCTCTAATGCACCATTTGCAAATTGTGGAGAACATTGAGGAAATTGGGCTTGTGGATGTGAAGCGCAAAAGAGGTCGTCCAAGTAAGGCTTCTCGATTCCGGTTACAAAATTTAAAAATGATTCGACAATCACAATTAGATCAAGCAAAAAGGGAAGGCAAGGAGGAAGCCTTTGAATTGAACCGGATTATTACCAACTTTATGTGGAATTTTCCTGACGTTGTAGATTCCTTAACTTCAACTTCTAATACAACAGGGTAAATTGTTGATTTATGTAATATGTCTAATTTATATTATTTTGTTTTTCATTTTGATTTAAAATGTCCCCTTTTTTTTGTTTTCAGGGAAGAATTTTCACGTTGTAAATTCTGCATCTGTGGTCGAATTTATCCTCCAACATACTTGTATGGGAGTTGCTTTTGCGGCGAGCTGTTGGCGGATCGTTCGGAAGAAGATTAATTGGTTTCTCCATTTTTTTTTGTTTGTGTTGTTTAATAATTTGTGTATGAGTTTCATTTTTAATCACTTTTACTTATTGGCTAAACTGACAGAATTTTGTTTCTTAAGTGTATTTGATATATTGTATTTTACATCGTCTTAAAACTAATTATTTTATTTTTTTGGGCACCTGATATCATTAATGTTTTAATGTGTATTAAATAAATATGGTTACTTTGAATTTTTGGTTTTATTACTTGTTTAAAATTGATCCTAAAATAACAATAAACTTTCTATTAATTTTAAATTCAAAAGTATAAAATATAGATATATACACATAAATTTTGTTGTTCTTGATGATTTAGAGTTTCTGCCTTTATGATATAGCATGTCGTTTTATGAGTCATTCCTTAGTATCAATTCTATACGTTTTAACGCGGCGCTACGAACGTTTTGCCTAACACAATTAAGGTTAATACATAGTACGGAGACGTTCGGATGATGTACAAGGTTGGTGTGTATACAGGGTGTGTCGCTACGGTGTGGATGGAGAGAGAGATGGAGAGAACGTGTCGCGTGATCTCTCGCATGAAAATTCGATAGTTGCGGTCGATATACGTATGACGTCATTATCGGTGTGAACAGTGGAGCGAGTCGTTGTTACGCAAGGCGGAGAGAGATAGAGATAGAATTTGCGCGTCGCATCGTGTCTCGCGCTACAGAATCGATGCAGAGATCGAGATACGGGTGACGTCACAGACGGCTCGTACACAGTAGTATAGTCGTTGTCATGCGGTCGAAGAGCGAGATAGAGAGGGCGATTAGTGTGATCTCACACACGAGCGAATCGATAGTTACGGATGACGTCAGAGGTCGGTAAAGTATTATGCGTATAATTCGTATATTTTTGAAAATTTTTATAGATAGTCCTCCCTCCATAAAATTTCCATTGTCCCCAATGGCTATCTACAGGCTTGTTGGTTGGTTTGTCCGTCGTCGTCTCATTGAAATTACTTTATAGCAGATATATAAATTTTTAATAACTATTATTGCCAATAATAATAGTAGTAATTTAAATGCGACAGAAATGTAGTCCATTGCTTCGGAAATAGATCCAAGGATTGGGATGTTCATCTGTGGAATGAATATTATAATTAGTATTTTGTATTTTCAGACTTTATTATACATAGGGAATTTTGAATTTTGGGTCTAGGGATTTTTGAAATTTGTTTTTCTTTTTATGTTATGAGTTTTCGTATAAGTTAGATTCTTTTCTTTATTTATTTAATAATTTTGATTACTTATTGTTATGTAGTTATTTGGTTAGTGTTAAAATAAGGAATTTTATTCGTTTTATCGATGCGTATATCGATGTTGGTATTGATTGATATATCGATATGCGATATAATGTATAAAGGTTGTTTTTGCCTTTGATTATTTTATTAATTTTGTTTTTAATTATTCTTTCTTTTATGTATTGTTTGTTATTAATTATTATTGTTATATTAATTAAATGGTTTTTAATAGTTATTTTTATTATTTTTACTATTTATACATATAATTGTATAAGAATGTCGATCGATATTTCGATCGATATTTTGTTATAATGTTGATTATAATTTGGATATAATTAATTTAATTAATTATATTTTATTTGTTAAATAATAATTTCTTTAATTATTTTCATGATTTTGCATGTAATTTAATGCATTTGTCATTTCTGTAGAGCATATATCGATGTTGTTATCGATCGATATATATCGAAGAGCGATTTGATGTGTAAAGGTTGTTTTTACCTTTATTGTGTTAGTAATTTATATTGAATTTAGTTGTTATATTATTTATTTCTGGTTTTAGTATCAATTTTGTTAATTGTTAATATTTTGTTAATTCTATTTTAGAGAAAAAATTTTTTTTTTTTTTTTTTTTTTTTTAATAAAGAGGAAAGAAGAAGGCGACCACCAAATCCCCTTCCTTCGTTTTCTTTCGTCTTTCTTTTAGTGATTTATATTTTTATTTATTAATTTTGTGACTACACTTTTAGTCTAATTTAATATATACATATATAATGTGGATAATATAATTTTATAGTTTTAATTCTTATTTGCTTATAATAATATGAATATAGTATTAATATTTAATTGTATATTAGCTTAGTTTTTAATTATTTTTCATATTATTATTTATTTAGTTTTATTTATGTATATATATGTGTGTATATATTATAGGTTATTTGTTTTATAATGTTAGGATTATTTGCCATTCTTTATTATGATATTAATCGAAAAAGGCTTCTGGAGAATCCCAAGAGTCATTTTGAGAATTTTCAGTTTCTGGAGTGTCCCAGTTTTCATTAATAATTTGAGTAATATTTGAATTTCCAATTGGTGTTCCTGGGATTTCCCAGAATTCGTCGTTATTAATAGTATTTTTCTCATTTTTAGGTAGCAACTTTTTGTTTCTTATTGGCCCTGTGCATTGAAATTTTGTGTGCCCTCTTAAAAAGCAAAATTCGCAGCAGTTAGTCCATTTAAATAGTTTAATTTTTAGTTTTGTTTGCTCTTCTTGAGCCATTACATAAATTATTCCTTTATGATTAATTTCTTCTTCTTCCTCGCTAAAATAATAGACGTCATTGAGTAGTTTTAAGATTTTTCTAGCTGTGGCGTGTTCGCCATCTTTGATTTTTCTTTGTTCTTGAGTTTTAGCGACGAACTTATTGTTGTTAGCTAAATCTGTTACAGTACAAACCACATCATAACGTCTGTTATTCGGAGGTCCCGAGACCTTATCTACTTTATAAATAGGTTTAGTTAAATTATATTCTGCTGTAAGTTCTTCTAATATTCCTTTGTGAAATTCTATATCGTTTATGTCTCCTTTTGGAAACAAATTGAGAATGATGAATTCTCCTTGGAGAGGAGGTGTATGAAGTACCAACTCAGCCATCTATAATACATAAAATAGTGTTATTATTTTTATTCATAAGCTAATTTTAATTTATCAATATGTTTTTGAAACCTTTGACCCTCATTTGTGATTAAAATTGCGGTATGTTTGTCTAAGATATCCACAATTTCGTACGGCCCGTGATAATAAGGTTCAAATTTACTTTTCTTAACTTCTCTTAGGACGTAGGCTTTGTCTCCTATTTTTCCTAAAAAGGGTTTAGTCTTTTTGTCGTAGATTTGTTTGGATTTAAGTTTGGACTCCATAAGATTTTTCGCGGCCATGTTTCTTATTTCTGTCAACCTAGATATTAATTCTACTAAATATGAACCGTACGTTTCGAGTTTTTCTTCTGAAGGAAATGAACTAGGGGTTCGCGCTGTTTTTCCGAAAATTAATTCGAAAGGAGTGAAATTCGTTGCTTCATGAACAGATGTGTTATAAGCAAACATACAAAAGGGTAATAATTTGTCCCAATCGTCGTAGTTTTCAGAATATTGTTTTAGAAAATCTACAAGGACTATATGGCTTCTTTCTAAGCTGCCGTTTGTTTAAGGTCTGTATCCTGAAGTTGTAACTTGTTGAACTCCAAAGATTTTAGATAGTTTTCTCATGAGTTTACTTATAAATCCTCCTCCTTTATCAGTTAAAATCGTCTTAGGGGCTCCATATTTGGAGTATAATTCTGCAGCTACAGCATGTGCTATTGTTGTAGTTGAAACATCAGGGATTGCTACTGCAATGCAATATTTTGATAAATGGTCTTGCATGGTAAGTATATGGCAATTACCATCAGGAGTCGTAGGGAGTTTTCCTACTGTATCCAAGGATACTTTATCAAAAGCGTCCAGTGGAGTGTCCGTAATTAGCATTGGTTCTCTAGTTTTTACTCGAACAAGTTTTTGTTCTTGGCAAGTTGGACATTTTCTTATGAATTCAGTTACTTGGTCTTTGAGACCAGTCCAGAAGAACTTTTCACGTATTCTTCGATAGGTTTTTGTGACACCTTTATGTCCTCCAATTTTACTGTTATGATATTCTTTGATTATATCTTCTCGTATTTCTTCCTTTGGAATTGTAACTGTACCATAACATATAGTGACTTTTATGTTACTATTTAGGAAAATTGTATCTATTATTTGTAGGAGTTCTCCTTTCATTAATTCGTCTGTCAAATCATTTCTTCTGGAGATTCGAATTTCCTTCAATTTTTCGTTTTGGAGAATGGTTTTTAGTTTTTGTAATACATCAAGGACATCCTTCTTTATTAATGGATCAAAGTGATTGTGTTTCACTATTAACGTGTAAATATTATATTGTCCTCGAGGAGTAATCAGTATTTGTCCTTTTTGTGGATTTTTTAATTTTATTTCTTGAGGATCAATTGCTCCTATGTCAATGAGTAATCTTCCTATAGGAGTTAAAATTTCGCAATCAGCAGACAGAAAATGAGCGTAGTTATTTCGATAGTAGGTTAGATTTTCTCTACAACTGTTTATGTTTAATGATAAGGATTTTTTTATTTTTGGAATTTCTGGTGGAATGCTATCAATAGATGTTTCTAATTTTGATCTAATTGTTGTTTGGTCTTTTAGTGGTTCGTCATCTGATGATTGATTTTCTTCATTTGCTTCTTCAGATTCAGATGTTTCTTCTTGTATTGTGGGATGTTTGAAGGGTGTTGATATTGCAAGAGGTTGATTAAAGCTTAAAGGTGTTATAGATCTTCTAGTTTGATCTGCAAAAGTTACATTTTTTCCTTTATTAACATCCTCCATGATTTGTTTCTTTTTACTTATATTATCATTTTCAATATTTTGAATCATGTCGGTTAATTCTTGTATGTCTTTATGAGCACTTTTTAGAATTTCGTTTAACTTTTCTGCAAAATCTGAATGACTTCCAGGTATGTATTCGTTTGCTGCTTCATGAATTTCAGGGTCATCATTTCCAACAGAGACATTAAGCCAATCTCTAGGTGCTACTTCTTTTTCCGTTAACCAATCTTCATGTTGAGCCATTGATTCATCAAATTGGGCTATTGATTTTTCTAATTCTTTTGCTATTTCTTTCCTTGTTTTTGGAATTTGTTGTTCTTCTTCTTCTTCTGAACTATCTTCGCTTCCACTTAAAGGCGGGCTAACTATTTTCTCTACTTCTTTACTCGTTGTTGGTTCTGTAATAAATTCATATTGTTCGAAAGGTGCAGTGGGGGGTGCGCTTTTTGGTGCATATGGGTCATAAAGCGGTGTCGGTATGACCAAAGTAGGTAGAACAC